TATATATATATATATATATATATATAATAATTATATATATATAAAAATATATATAAATTATTTATATATATATTATAAATTATATATAAAATTTTTTTTTCCTCCTTTGAAATTTTTGCTGACTTGAGATGTTAATATGTTTGTAATTGTAAAATTTTTGTTTGTTGTGAAAATTATTTTTTTTTTATATTGATAATTGATTATCCGTTTCCCCTCGTTTATAATATTAATTTCGGTTTTTCGATTTACAATTATAGGAAATTTTCCTTCCCTTTGTCGGACAACTGAATTATATTTTTGCGAAATTCTTTTTTAATTACTTTAATTTTGGGAAATAATTTTGAAAAAAAAAAGAAATTTTATTTTTGCGCTCGGTTATCACGTCAAGTAACTGACGTTCTGTTTATTTTTATTTTTTAAAAATTTTATATTTTTAAAATTTTTATAATTTTAAAATTTTTATATTTTTAAAATTTTTTCTTTTCCCCGGGCCAATAATAATAAAATTTCGTTTAATAAAATTTTTTCTTGAGACTTTGAAAAGCCGATGGGAAAGAATAGACGGTCAGGCTATCGATATCATTTAAAGAAGGTCCATTCAGATTTTATCAACGGCAAAGTATATCACCGCCCCTTAATCGAAACCAAATATTGGGAGGAAGATACTGAATCCGCGAAGAACGTGATCGATAATAAGGCTACCAGGTCCCAATGCACCCCGCGGACACGCCAAAAACGGCATTTTCTACACCAGATGGTCACTGGGAATATTGCTGTATGCCCTTTGGCCTAGAATGTGCTCCGTCTATCTTTCAAAGAATGATAGATTTCACGTTAAGCGGGTTAAAAGGGACGGAACTTTTCATTTACATCGATGATTTAGTTATTTATGGCAAAAACTTAGCTGAACATGGAGTAAGAGTACAAAGATTATTTAACAGATTAAGCGAAGCAGATCTCACGCTTCAACCGGAAAAATGTAAATTTCTTTGTCCAGAAGTAGATTATTTAGGTCACGTAATTATAAAAGAGGGCATAAGACCCAACCCGGAAGAAATCTCGTCACTTGAAAATGCCTCGCGATCTAGAAATCATACTGAAGCCAAAAAATTCATGGGGCTTGCTAATTATTACCGACGTTTTATCCAAAATTTCGCGGAAAAGGCTAATGTAGATAGGGCATTCCACGCCAAATCAACCACTTTTGACCCTGACCCCTTTTAATTTGGCTGAAAGTTTACCACCCTTTTCTACCCTATCAAAAACGTCTCTCATAATTTTTTCAAATTTTTTTACCCACCAAAAAAAAAGTTCCGAATATTTCAAAAAAACCGCTTTTTTATTTTTAAATTGCCATAACTTTTTCAAAAATTCGCTTATCGTGACGTTTTTTTTTTCAAAATTTTTGTTATTAAATGTTTTTTTTGGAAAAAAATTATTCAAAGCTATCTTCATCGTTATTTTTGAAATTTTCAGGAAAAACTCCAAATTTTTTGATGAATACCATTTTTAGTTTGTTTTTTCTTTTTCCCATTCGAAACTTTGACATTTTCTACAGATATCATGAAATTTTCAGAAAGGTGTTTTTCCGATTTCTATTTTTTCTTTTCAATTAAAAAAAAAAAAATTTTTTTTTTTTGTCGTATTTTTCATAACACCGGGCCAAAAATTTATGGGAATCCTCAAAAAAAAAGTAAAAAGTATAGAACCATCATTTTAATATGTTAATCATCGAGAAAATTAATTTTTTTTAAAACAAAAGAAATTGAAAAACAATTGTTTTTTTTATTTAATGCTTAATGGATGGTGGGCGTTGAAATGAACAATTCTCTGATACTCTAAGTTTTATAATTAAAATGGTTTTGTCAAATGGTTTAATACATGACTATAATGACTGAAATGCAATGATTCTTAAACTAATAAAAACATTTTCCTTAGTTAAGCAAAAAAATGTTCTTTAACAATATTGTTTCTAGTGATGGCACTTAATTAATTTTTTTTTTTTATGAGGAGGATTCATTGGTGGCGCAAACTATCATTTCTCGATGACTTCTAGAGTAATTTGAAAATAGATTTGAGCCTTTACAAGGATTAAAAATTTTAAAAGCAATTCTGAGAGGCTAATCTGGTTAACTTTTAGTTCTATATTTTTTGTTGTTTTTCAATTTCTTTTGTTTTAAAAAAAATTGATTTTCTCGATGATTAACATATTAAACTGATGGTTCTATACTTTTTACTTTTTTTTTGAGGATTCCCGGAAATTTTTGGCCCGGTGTTATGAAAAATACGACAAAAGAAAAAAATTTTTTTTTTTTAATTGAAAAGAACAAATAGAAATCGGAAAAACACCTTTCTGGCAATTTCATGATATCTGTAAAAAATGTTAAAGTTTTGAATGGGAAAAAGAAAAAACAAACTAAAAATGGTATTCATCAAAAAATTTGGAGTTTTTTCTGAAAATTTCAAAAATAATGATGAAGATAGCTTTGAATAATTTTTTTATATTTTTTTCCAAAAAAAACATTTAATAACAAAAATTTTGAATAAAAAAACGTCACGATAAGCGAATTTTTGAAAAAGTTATGGCAATTTAAAAATAAAAAAGCGGTTTTTTTGAAAAATTCGGAATTTTTTTTTGGTTGGGTAAAAAAATTTGAAAAAATTATGAGAGACGTTTTCGATAGGGTAGAAAAGGATAGTAAACTTTCAGCCAAATCAAAAGGGGTCAGGGTCAAAAGTGGTTGATTTGGCGTGGAATGCCCCGTATAGAATGTGGCTTAATGTATATAGAATAAGTGAAAGGAAATTTAGTATAGACCGGATAGCTCAAATGGTAGAGTAGCCGACATGTCTTCGGAAGGTTCTGGGTTCGAATCCCAGTCCGAGCTATCTAATAATTTTTCTCGCATATTCTATACACTCACATTAAGATGATCCTCTCCACAATCCTTTCTCAATCCTTTCCTACCAAAATATCCTGTTACGTGAATGTCGGAACGCTTCACGTAATAATTATCCGTTACTCCTTTTCTTTCCCGCTTCACAGCATTTTTTATATTTGTTATTCTTCTACAATATATAGATTAATAGGCTATCTAAGCCCATAACAGATCTTACGCGAAAGACTAAACCTTTCATATGGACAGAGGAAGTGCAAGCGGCATTTGACGATATCAAGAATGCCCTCTGCGAAGACTCTTTTCTAAAATATCAAAATTTTAATAAACCCTTTATCCTGGCTGTCAGTGCGTCTGACTCGGAAATATCCAGAATTCTCAGTCAAGCAACGACAGTGGAGGACGATGACCCAGACGGTGACGGAGAAAAGATAGTCTCGTGTGTCTCAAGAGTCTTTCACGATACTGAAACTCGATACATAGATGTAGAAAAACAATGTCTCGCGGTTGTCTACGCAATTCAACAATTCAGACCGTATCTCCAAAAACATTTTACTCTCATAACTAGTAGCCCTTGTGTTACCTGGTTAAGAGATAGCGCAACTGTCACCGAAAGACAAGCTAAATGGCGCTCTCAATTAAATAGATACAAATTCAACGTCGTAGTCCGACACAAAATTACCGAGCAATACGCGGAAAGGCTCTCGTATAACCCAGAAGGTCGTTCTGAACCTTTAGGAAACCCGATAAATAATAACACCGAAAACGAATCCGAAGAAAATGAATCCGACAAAAATACTCTAACTCCTCGAAACGTAAATCGATCTCGGTTCACAGGGTATTTAGGAGACGGTCCAGAACCTCGAACTCCAATTTTCGGAAGAGTTCTCATACCTGATGAACTAGCGGCTATGGGTATCCGTTATGACCACGCAAGCCGCCAAATCGTAGACGAAAACAGTAAGGGAATAAACGAAATGGCTGAAACCGAATCGGCCGACCCCAATAACACCCCTATCGAATCGGAACGGGGACGATCAAGCGAAAATTCGTCAAATATAATTAGATCAACGAGTCCACGAGATAACAATGAAAATAAGTCGCATGATAGTTCAGGAAAATCTAGTGATTCAGATAAAAACAAAGATAGGCCAACTACAAGCGGGAATGCAACAGTGGGGGATGACGCCGGGAACCGCCGATTCGGACCACCCTTTGTCGCCTACGACCCACCAACTTTCGAAGAGGCGGAGGATATCTTTGCCGAAAGACGTCATCGGTCAAGGATATCTTCACCCTCAAGTTCAGACGAAAGAATATCCCCGAAAGGCCCCGAAATAAAAATTAAATTTTCAATTAGTCGAGAAGGGCTCACTTATGCCCGGGATCATTTAGTACACTTTTTAGCAGCTGATTGCAAAATAATTAAACCCGTAGTGAAGCTGCTCCGCGACTTAAAATTTATAAATGCCGATGATCTTCATGCCTCGAAACCTACAAAAGGAGACGTATTTGTCACCAAGCTAGGTCGTTGCAAAATTTTTACGGTATTTATCAAAACAAATCATTTCAAAAAATTAGATCCAATCGACTTGATCGAAAGATTGAGAAACCTTCGGCAGTCGATGCATAAACACGACATTCATTCGCTTCGCTGTGCGAAGCAGGGGGATGAATTCGATGATTTAGACATTCAAGCTTATCTATTACACGAGTTAGAAGATTGTCCAATAACGATTACTTTGTGTGAAGGGAACGTCGAGGTGCCAGACGAATCCCTCCGAACAAAAATAATCGAAGAAAATCATAATAGCTTAATAGGGGGCCACAAAGGCGTAGTAAAAACGTATTGGCGTATTCGCGAAAAATATTACTGGCCGGGAATGATAGATAAAATCTATAATTACATTCGAGCATGCGAAATATGCCAGAAAAATAAACTTACGCGAATAAAAACAAAACAGCCTAGGTCTATCACAGATACACCTTTCGAACCTTTTGAAAAAATTAGTATAGATACCGTAGGACTCCTACCTATGACCCCTGATAAAAATGTACACATCCTGACAATCCAGGATAATTTTTCTAAGGCAGCAGCAGCAGTTCCTCTCCCTGATATCAGAGCAGTGACTGTTGCCGATGCCTTATTAAATCATTATATCGCTCTTTACGGGTGCCCCCGTGTAATTCTATCTGATAAGGGCACCTTGTTTACTAGTAAATTAATTCAACAGCTAGCACACCTAGAAAAATTCAACCCACGAACCCGCACCAAGCACCCTGGTTCAGCTTCGTAGGCACAATCGCACGTAAGTTGTTCGGCACAATGGACTACAGTGACAAGGAACACATCACCAAAGAAATAGACAAGTTATACCAAGATAACAGGGAGTTAGTACACTTATCACAGAACAACACTCACATCATCAGGAGTGAAATAAACGAAATTCTAAAACATGAAGTAAATATAACCGAGAGAATCAAGGAAGTGGTTCGAACATCAGCTTACCTCAAGCAAGCAGTAAACAAACCACTGAGCGACCTTCAGAGAAGCCAATTATTCTCGATGGCCAACCACCCAAGAACTCTCAACAACGCAGAAAAACCATAGAAGAGGCAAAATGGGGTAAACTCACCTATTTAACAGTGTCAGCTAAACAACTACATAAAGCAACTACATCAGCAGTTGCTGATATGATGAAAAAACATCCAACGTTAAACCCACCTCAACCTCTGGATCACATGGACATCAATTCACTAGCCAGGGTATCGACAGTGGAAAAAGGAAAAACAAATGGACACTTCCTGATAATAATCACCATGCCGCTTTTTGACCAGATGCCATGGTTAGCGTACGAACTTAAATCGCTACCAAAACCAGAGGAAATTGGAGACCAAATATCAACATTGACAATTCAGCCAACATCGAAATAACTCGTATCAGAGCCATCGTTCGATGAATATTTTCTCGCTGGACAGGACTACATCATCAGCTGTAAGCCCATCGGACCAGACATGGCATGTCCACCTAACCTTCCGTCTAAAACAACTAAGTTGGAGAATGAGGTAGATTGCGAAATGAAATTATTAATGGATCCAAAAACTGAAAATCTACGGGAATGTAATATAAGAATTATCCAAAAATGCAAGCTGACTTGGATAAAAATGAACGAGAAAAACACCTGAGCATATTCAACGTGCAAACAAGAAACTATTCAATGGAGATGTCCAGGACAAACAGCTGAAAATCGTATAATTAATGGAACTGGACTCATACACATCCAACAAGGATGCCAAGTAAACTGCAATGGATATGCAATCCGAGGAATTGCAAGAGAGTCAACAAAAATAGACCTCATTGACCCGAGTTTCAATCTTTCCTTGGAAACATTAAACTCGAGCCTAAAAATCAACGACGCAGTTCCAAATTTGTTCACACAAAGTCAAGACCCAGCTACAATCATCGACAAATTTGAACCTTGGGGCCAAGGGCTAGAAGAAAATGAAGAAAAGATGTCATTAATAGCTCTAGACCATCAAAAAGAGGAAATCAACCGTAAAATAACCATCGGATCGGTAACAACATTAGGAATAATATCACTCATAATAGGGGGGAAAGCTATACAGAAAACTATCGGCCAATTCCTATCCAAACCTCGCAAGCCCAGCAGAGTCGACGAAAAACCAGTCATAATCCAACTACAAACTGTTGAAGAAAAGACGTCGACCTCTCAAGAAGTCAAGGAACCACATCCAACAACAGTAACAACCGAAGAAGCTCCTGAGACCGTCGAGAAATCAACAAAGCCGAAAACCTTCCGGTTGAGAGACTACAAATCACCGGTTTAGACAAGAACCTCAGCTTCAACTTCGTGGAAGTTAAGGTCATTTATAAAAAAAAAAAAACTTTTTATGTAAACAAACTGATGGCTCATTCGCGGAAAACTGAAAATCAATAACTTGCAAAATAATAATAAAATTTTTCTTTCCTGTTGGAAATTACGTTTAATGAAAATTTAAAAATTGCCAAAAACGAGCAGTAATCAGGAATAATCCTGCAAGTAGTAAATACATCTATACTCAATAAAAATCCGTGCTCAGTCTCAAACGAAGGCGTGGTAAATTCGTACATCAAAAACGTCCCACATAAAAAAATAAAACAACGGAATTAAAAACTCCGTTGAGTATTCTTTAAACTGTTTGTCCAAACCTCCACCGTTAACGCTACCGCTCTAAAAACGCCCTTGGACATAACAGTATGGAGTTAGCAGGAAGTTGCAAGGATGTCCTTTAAGGTCAACCGTTTTTCTAATTTTTAACTTCCTGCTAAGAAAATCGAAGATTTTCAATAATCGGGAAGTTATTGGTTTTACCCCGTTTTTCGAAAATCGAGTTTTCATCAGATCTCGACGTTTTAAGGTCCTACGAAGCTGCCCTGAATGTTTTCGCGATGATGTCTGTCTGTCTGTCTGTCTGTCTGTATGTTTTTTTTTTTTTTTTTATACAGGAGGTAAAATACATTTACGTATGCCAGGGATTGGTGTTGTTGCCAGGACTAGGTATTGGTGCCTGGGTATGTCGGACTCAGAAGTCAATATTTGCAACAATACCGACTGAACATCCTTTCTGCGATTTTTCCTTTAAAAAGGCGCTGCGCGTAGACTGCGACAGCTGACCAGTTTTCTTCTTTTTTTATCATGCAGGTTACCAAGCTCTCAGGGGAGAGCGTGGTGCCTATTGTTTATTCGATGCTGGTTCTGTCGTCCTTCCACCGATCACACTCGAAAAAGTGCTCGGCATTGTCAATTTTGTCTGGGCAGTATTTGCTCGTGGGTGTGCTGTGCAAACCCATCTTGTAAAGATAAGCATTGAACTGCCCATGTCCCGTCAATAGCTGGGTCAGGAAGAAGTCCGTATCCCCGTGCTTCCGAGAAAGCCAGACGTTGATGTTTGGGATCAGGCGCGCCGTCAATCTGCCCGTCTCTCCCGATGTCCATCGGTCCTGCAACTCTTGCTGCGTTTCCGCCTTTATCCTTGTTCTTGCGTCCTTCATGTTTTCGTCACTGATTGTAGCGTCATAGAGTTTTGCTCTTTCGAACGCTAATAGGTCGATGGGCGCGGCTCCTGCAATGACCAATACAGCCGCTTCGGAAACTGTGCGGTAGGCGCAGGCAACCCTGAGAGCGCCTCGCCGCTGTACTGCTGCTATCTTTCGCCGGTAGGTCTTCTGCTTTAATATGTCTGCCCATATCTCTGCTCCATAAAGTAGTACCGAGTGGACTGCTTCTAGAAGAGCTCTTCTCTTTTTTGTTCTTGGTCCCATGGTGTTGGTCATAATTCGTGCTAGGCTAGACACAGTCTTGCTGGTTTTCTTGCATGCACTGTCGAGGTGTTCACGGAAAGATAGTTTCTCGTCTATCATTACCCCTAGATAGCGCAGGGCCCTTGTTGACGTGAGTGTTGTTCCTCCCATGTCCATAGCGAATGGTTTTGGAAACCATTTTTGGCGAGTCAGAACGACCATCTCGATTTTGTGCTTGGCGAGTTTCAGGTGGTGTTTATCGAGCCAAGTCTCGACAGCATCAATGATTTCTCGAACTAGTAGTTCGGCCTCCTCTACGCTGTCTACGTTAAAGGCATTTCTAATGTCTAGCGTGAGGACAAGACACACCTTGCGGGCTTTGAGGCTACCAGTCCATGCTTCTCTCGCTGTCCTTACGACTTTCTGTATCGCGCCTACTGTTGAACGTCCTTTCCGGAAGCCATGTTGGTTCGCGGCAAAACCTCCAGCACGGTCTATGTCGTTGCGAAGTCTCCCTTGTATGACCTTCTCGAGCAGTTTTCCAGCAATATCCAGCATACAGAGTGGTCTAAACGACGGAGGTGTTATGGGGTTTCCCTTACCTTTGTCTAAGAGAACAAATCTCTGCCGTTTCCAGACCGTGGGAAACGTGCCAGTTGCCAAGCATGCATTGTAGGTGTTCAGCAGTATGTCTGGGTATTCCAGGGCTACAATCTTGATCACCGATGCCGGGATGCCATCAGGTCCAGGTGCCTTTCCTGTTTTGAGTGACTTGGCCGCGTCTTGTAGTTCCTTAGTTGTGAAGGGTGTTACTTCGCTGTTCTTAGTGTAGTGTTTCTTTTCCCGCGGCAGGTGTTTGGGAAAAAGCTCCGCTACAATGCTGCTCATCATGGCAGGAGACTTCGGCGCCTCTGGTGAAGCCTTTCCAAGTCGTTTGGCGACAATTTGGTAGGCTTTACGCCAGAGGTCATTGTCGAGATCATTGAAGATCTCTTACCACAACTTCGCTTTACTTGCTTTGATGGCTCGGTTTAGCGTCTTTTTGGCCTGCTTATACTCTTTTGAATACACGTCCTGGCTTGGCGAACGTTTGGCGGCTCTCGTTGCTCGGCGACGTAGCTGATGGCAAATTTTGCAAAGTTCTGCTATGTCTGCTGACCACCAATACGCCGGCCTGTGGAATCTCTGATTTTTCAGTGGCGGCATAGAGGCATCACATGCGGCAGCAATTTCCATCATCGTATTTAGCACTGCCTTTTCCGTCTCGCTGCACGTATCCGGAGTCGTGTTGTTCTGAAAAATAGACCAGCTTCGTGCAAGCGAAGCTTTCAATGCCTCTGGATCAAGCCTTTTGGCATTCCACTTCTGCTTAGAAACGTCGCTTTGTGAAACCGGAGAAAATGCCATTCCGACGCTGAATGTCACGAACTGGTGATCACTGCCACTGTATTCTTCGGATACTACCCAGTCTTCGATCATGTTGGCAGTCCTTGGAGTCACCAATGAGATGTCGAGGATGGATTCTTGGTACCCTGGTCTTCTGAAGGTTGTTGTGCTCCCGGTGTTCATCACTATGAGGTCGAGTCTAGCAGCGACGTCAGCGACCTCGTTTCCTCTAGTATCGGAGAAAGCAGCGCCCCACTCAGCTGATTTAGCGTTGAAGTCTCCGGCTACGATAACTTCACCGTCGAACTTAATGATCGCATCTTCTATATTAGACAGTTTCTGTCGGAACACACTAATCCCTTCGTTAAGTGAGAGATAGACGCTCATGAAGTAGGTTGTGGGGGTTTGGATCCAGACAAAACCTGCTCCACTTCCGCTGTTGTTGACGGTAACGTTCTTTGTGTTCACAATCCAAATTGCTGCCGTGCCCGTTTTGTCTGCGAACCATGTTTTACCTTCGATGTTTAGATATTTCTCGCAGATAAAGCAGACGTCAATTTTATCTTCAAAAACACACTGGCGCAGCAGGTTTTGCGCCAAGGCGCACCTATTCAGGTTGCCTTGTGGTATGCGTATCATTTCTGACCTCTCGTGGCTTCTGCAAGTGCTTTGCGAAATGCCTTGCAAGCTCCAGTACCAGAAATATGGCATAGAATATCCTGGGCATCTTTGTCCGAAGCACAAAGGAAGCATTTTAGCTTCTCCGTGCAGTTTACGGCCTTGTGGTTCTCTTCGGCACATTTGTAACAGCACTTGCTTCTGTCTGGTCCCGCACACTGACGTGTGTGGTGTCCATAACCAAGACATTTAAATCAACGTGTTACTTTTACTACTGGGCGTATACGACAGTTCACCAAACCGATCCGTATACGGGCCTTGTCAAGGGCCTTAATCGCACTGAGCTCGTCTAGTTCGCAGAAGGCTGCCTGATTACCTCGTGGTGTGGGCTTTGTCAAATTGACCCGTTTGACCTCCAGGCTATCAGTGAAGTCACGTTTGAGTGCTTCACGGACGTCGCTCTCGGTAGAGATTTCATCCAGGTCGAGGATCTCGATCGTTGCTGTTGGTGTTAGCGTCTTGACCGTGCCGATGTTTGCAGTAGCTGACTTTACTGCATCGGTGAATGCCTGACTGTCCTCGGTCTTTCGAGACATTTCAAGGAGAATGCCTCCATGTTTCATTTTTCAGCTTTCGTTTTTGTCTTCTTTCTCCTTGGTTTCTTAGTGCCAGCCATACTTGGTTAGTTTTGGGTTTCACTAGATTGTGCCGCTGGCTCCTGTTTTGTTTCCTTCCTTTTCTTTTGCCCAGTCACTTCAGTCCAGGTGTCACCCCGGGCAGGCTTTTTCTGTGCTGGCTTCTTGTTTTCTGAGGAAGTGCTGGGCGTAGACAGCGGCCTCTTCTTGGTGTTTTCTTTTCCATGCTGTGATTTCTCAGGGGTGACTAAAAACGAGTGTGATTTTTTGTTCAGACCCGGAGATGTTTGCGTGGTTGACGCCGACTTCGTTACTGGTTTGTTGGCCAACTTATATGCCGTGCCAATGGACGCTACTATTTTTCTGAGTTCATGATGTACATTTTTTTTATCCTCTATAAACTCAGCCAATTCTTCGATTTTGCTACCGAGCCGTTTCATTGGCGTAAGTTGGCCGGTGACAGTCGGTAGAGAGTTGATCCTCCCTTGGTATGCGTAAGTGTTGACGGGAGCAACAGGTCTTCCACTTATTAGAGGAAGGTTTGTTTGCTGTGCGTCCACTTCCATCTCAGCTGTTTCTTTACTCCCTGTAGCATTGCTAAACAGTGGAGCCATGGGGTCCACTCCACTGTTCAAACGGTCGCTTGATAACGACGAGTTCGGGCCCGTTTATACGCCTTCTCTCGCCGGTACTGAGGTATCCCCCCTCTGCACCGTAGACGATGTATGAAACTGTTGGGACATTTTCATATGGCTGTTAGTGTTGTTCATTTGGCACTACCCGGAGAGCACGTGTAGGGTGTAAAAGCAGAACCTACGGACGCGAACAACTCTACCCTCCGTCTGTCTGTATGTATGTATGTATGTATGTATATGTGTGTGTGCGTACGTGTGTGTGTGTGTGTGTGT